AATGTTTTCAGGGACAGCAGCAGCATGTAATTTCACAATGTTCACGGATAACAACCGGACCCAGAAGAGAACAGTCTAGAATGATGAGACTCCCAAGCAGGCACACCTTACCTGCAGGGACAGACATCTGAACTGTGCTTACTTTGGTGCAGGTGCTGGGAGCCGTGGGCTGTGGGAACCTGAGACAGAAGGTGAGGGAATCTTCTGTCTGCTGGACATAGGCTACCAATTTTGACCTGACGGTGGTGACATGGTATAAATGTTTATAAACACGTTGAGCTCTGCATCTTGGCATGCCTTTTACTATATGTCAGAATATCTAAAAGAGGCAATCATTGCTGGAAAGTTTTAGGGAGCTGACTGGTTTTAGAACTGATGCTGAGGGAGAGGATGTTGTAGCTACATGCTTCAGATCACGTATCAGAGACCTGGGTCTGAGCGGCAGCTCTGCTCCCAGGCCAGCTCCCTGCTTATGCACGGGGGAGTCAGTAGATGTTGGCTTGAGTGCCTGAGTTCCTGCCACCCACATGGGAGAGCTAGACAAAGTTCTGACTACTGACTTTAACCTGGTCCAACTCAAGTCTCCATGGGCACTTGGGGATCACGCCTAGTGGACAGGAGATCCTCTTTGCATCTTGCTGCCTTTGGAATCAATAAAAATGAGTCATGCTTACTTTGAAAAGAACTGTTGTCATCAAGCATTTGCCTTAGACATCGAGGTGTCTCCCAGAAGACGCCAGCCTGGTTACCTTGGTTTTGCTTTTAAACCCCTCTGTGTGTTGTTGTCACCTGATGCTACCATCAGCCCAGCCCTCCACGTGATTCAAGGGTATTTGCACACACGTGCCAGAGCAGGTACGGTGGGAACCCGAAGCAAGTGGAGTGCCTAACACAGAATCTTCCAATTAGCAAGATGTGGCATCTGATGGACCGAGAGATGCTGAAACAGCGCCTCCTAGAGGAACAGCAGGGTTGCCTCCATGCACAGCTCGTCGGGGAAATGTTGCAGCAGGGGATCCCTTTCTCTGTTTCCAGGTTTTCACCACATTCACTGAGCTTATGCCCAGAATCGTATCTCCATCGCTGAGCATAGTGAAGGGGGTGGTTTGGCTTCTCATCATTGGTGAGATCCATTCATTCATGTCATCTCATGCAACACTAGCTTGTGTTTGTAACTGCAGTTTTGTGTAAGTCCTTGTGTGTATGTGTGTGAAACAGAGCAGGTGGGGTGGGGAGAAAATCATTCCAGAAGCCACATGTAATCAAGCTCTAGAAAAACCTAGTCATCTTCTATAATTGCAAGAATTCAAATAAATATCCAAGACTTGCGCCTGCAAAAATACTTAGTGTTAAATAAGAAGGAAGAACAGTGCGCTGGCCTAGAGTGAGTGATTTGATCTTTGCAACTGCTAAGGCAGATGGGATCATTTCCACACTCTCGGACGAGGCCAAATCCTATAAATGTTGAATCTCCCTCATACAGCAGGATGTTACCATTGGGGATACTCAAGCTGTGCTTCCAACAGGCCCGGGGACAGACCAATGTTCAAAGCAAAGGTGTGTCTTCTGCTCTTCAAATGAAAATAACACATCTGTAATGGATGTTTGTAAAAATGTTACTTAGTAACCACACTAAGCCTTTCCCAAACAGCCTTTAGTCCCTACCTGACTCACCTGCAGTGCCTCCCCAGACTGCAGGTGGAATCACCCTCCAGTACTTGGCACACTGTGACGCTTGTCTGAGCCTGGCATCGATGCGGCTCTCATGGAGCTGAGACGTTACAGACTGTGGACTCCTCCCAGAATGATTTCAGAATTTGTTCTCATCTTTCCTGAAGAGGTACGTATGTATTGTAGAATCTTTAGAGAATATAGATAAGCACAATGAATCAAGGCAAAAATCAGCCAGAACGTGGTACCAATTTCACATATGGGTGCTCCCTGCTGTGGCCTGGGAAAGCAGCAGAGGATGGCCCAATTTCTTGGGTCTCTGCACCACGTGAGAGATTTTGAAGAAAAGAAGTTTGACCCCTGGCCTTGGACTGGACCAGTTCTGGCCGTTGCAGTCATTCGGAGAGGGAACCAGCAGGTGGAAGAACAGTCTACCACTCTGTAACCCTGATTTTCCAAGATAAAAAAAAAAAAAGCCAAAAACCTTTTTAAGAAAGTTGTGATTATTTATTTGAAATTGACAGCTATATATAGAGGGAGAAACAGAGAGTTCACTAGCCCCTGATTCATTCTGCAGTGGCCATAGTGACTTGCGATGCCCCTAGAAGGAGACAGGAGCCAGCGGCTTCTTCCAGGTCTATCTCCTGCCACTGTTCAGACACTTAGCAGGAGACTGAGCTGGAAGTTGACAGCTGGGACATGATGAAGGGGTACCTATACAGGATGTGGTGCATTGCACAGACTGGGGTCTTATCATGTAGCCTGATTTTATGGGCCCCTTTGGGTTCACAATATTGAATGCTTTGTCAGCTTCTGATTGTCGGGTATTTCTGTTCTTGTCTTTTTTCTTAGTGCTGTTAAAAAAATATATATATTCCCTCAGCAGTCCCTGTAAGCTGATCTATGATGTGTCACCTAGATGAGCCTCTGGAAAGAAATTTCTGACAGTCTAAATGCCAAGTTGAAAGACATGTGCACACTTCATTATATAGATCACCAAATTGCTTTTCTGGAGAGTTACACCGAATCCCAGGTTAAGGGTGGTGTGGTCCTGGGGACCTCAGACTCAGGGGAAACTCAGAAGGCGGTAACACCCACCGGCTTCCTGTGGCTTTGTTGTTGGCGGTGGTGGTGGGTAAGTCAGAAGGCAGGGCGAGCTCCCTGTCAGAGGTCAGAGGTGCGGCACAAATGATTCAGATTCGGATGCATCATCTGCTGTTTTAACGTTGCCAGGTAATGGTGAGCTGTTTCGGCAGAATGCCCGAGGGAGTTTCCAGCTACACTGTGAATTCTAGAATGTCTCAGACCCACAAAATAGGGACTATAAACAGCGCTTCTCAAGGCTGCTGGGAGCCGTTTAAGCTGTTTCTTCTGCCCATGGCAGTGTGTACTGCTGAGGAATTTACAGATGATGGGAAACTTGGAGTCACCGAAATGCGAGCCTTGCAACGGCAGTGACTAAGACTCACAGGTTCCGTGACAGCCCTATCCGGTAGGGGACTGTCTCTGGGACGGGGCAGCTTGGTGAAGCCTCCGACCCTGGGCAGGGGGCAGAGCAGCTTCAGTTTGCAGCTTTTTGCTGGGATGCAGTTGTAGCCTTGGGCAGCTTCCTGAACCCCTCTTAGCTCGTTGCTTGCTTGCTCTTTCTTTCTTTCTTTCTCTTTCTTTCTTTCTTTCTTTCTTTCTTTCTTTCTTTCTTTCTTTCTTTCTTTCTTTCTTTCTTTCTTTCTTTCTTTCTTTCTTTCTTTCTTTCTTTTTCTTTCTTTTTCTTTCTTTCTTTCTTTCTCTCTCTTTCTTTCTTTCTTTCTTTCTTTCTTTTTTAAAGATTTATTTTGTTTTTATTGGAAAGGTAAATATACAGAGAGCAAGAGAGACAGAAAGGGGAAACGGGTGTTAAACTCAGGTGGAAAAACAGGAGTGACACCGCTTTTTTTTCCTGAACTTTCCCCAAAACTTAGTATTTTCTTTAATACAACATGCACCAAAAAACAGTATCAGCAATACTGCTCATACTTTGATCCATCACACAAATTCACACATTTTCAGAGCACATTAGCATTGCTATAATTATCTCAAAATTTCATGTCAATTGAAATCAGATTTCAGAAGTACAGCAGCTCTAAGACGTGAAGCTGTGGCTGAAATACATGTGGCCGCTGTCTTGCTGTCTGCAGATGCCACCTTGTTTCACTAAAAATGACAGGAGGTTGGATCTGGCATTGTGGTACAACGCATCAAGCTGTTGACTGCAAAGCTTGCATCCCGTATGAGCAGTGACCCAGGCCTGGCTCCTCCACTCCCAGCCCAGCTCTCTGCTAAAACGACCAGGAGAGCAGTGGAAGATGGTCCATGTGTTTGAGTTTCTACACTTGTCTGGGAGACCTGGATGATGTTTAAAGCTCCTGGCTTCAGCCTGGCCCACACCTGGCTGTCATAGCCATTTGGGCAGTGAACCAATGGATACAAAATCTCTTTTTCTTTGTGTCTCTTTCTTTCTTGGTATACGGGTGTCCTCTTTGTAACTCTGCTTTTCCTATAAAATAAGTCTGTAAAATATTATAGGTGGCCAAGGTTCTGGACTAAGCTTTTGCTACCCAACAGGCTTGGCTAAAACTCAACATGGAGTCAGCCATGCTCACACCCCGTGTCACCATGAGACGAAGTTCTTTATCTGACCTGAGGAATCAAGGTTAGGGAAACAGCAGCCAAGGTTTCCAAACAGGCCAGTTTCAGTTGGCATATCATTAAGTTTCTTCTGCTTAATCTTTTCACACACACAAAAAACAACCTGACAGTTATTTTTCCATTGTTCTATCTACTATTCAGGAATTTCCCTGTCGCTATGGAACAAGGAGAGTAATTCTGAAATGACTGATCCACTCTGTTACTTTGTTCCTGCCTTGCTCAGGCTTTTGCCTTCTGTATAACCCACTGGAACCCTTACTTTATTTTAGGGACTGAGGTGTTACCCAATTGTTTGCTCTCTTGCTTTTTTTTTTTTTTTTTTTTTTTGCTCAGATGGAACCTGTCAGCAGACAATTCCCAGAAGGTCAGCGGGTCCTGGACTTGAGAGAAAAATAGTGTCAACAACTGGGTAGGCAAACTTTTGTTCCCCTCTGCAGGAGTCTGATGTCTTAAGCAGCCAGCAAAGAACAAAGGTGCCAGCAAGGGTGGGGACTCCAGGGAGCAGCAGAGGAGGTGGCAGAGGGGTAAGTGGAGGAGAGAGTGTGGGGAGAGAGCTTGGGAGACACGGTGCCCTTAAAGACCAGAGCAGACACAGGAAGAAAGCAGGGGACTATCAATCTAGGACACAAAATCTAACAACAAAGTGGTAGCAAACATTTTATTTGTCATAAAAAACAAATGGGTTTGGGGTATTCCTTCATGAGCCTCCCCTCTCCCCATATGGTGTTGATCAATTGCTTCATTCCGTCTCTTGTTTTCCTCTTTGTCTGATTCTCCTGGCTTTTGTGATCCATAGTGCTCACTTTGAAAAACAAAAAGTTCTCCATGTGTCAGGAAACACAGCATTTAGGAAGCGTTGCATGTACTGCCTCATACATTTGGGGTGGAGCATCCTTGCCGAGTCCCTCACTCTGGGTCGCTCCCAGAACACCGCATCCTTGGAAAGGCACTCTTGTTGTGGTTTGTAGGCACACCAATGGGATCCCCATTGAAACAGTGAAAACACTTAACGTTGTCCTTGGTCTCATCAAGAGCAGCTAGGCACCTTTTATTTTCAAACCACATGTGTGGAGGTACAATGGGAGCTGGAAGATCTGTCTTATCCACAACACTGTTGGGCTGATCTCAGCTATGCAAGGGACCATTACTGATCTGTACATGACGCACAGTGGGGGATGTTTCCTTATTTCTTAACCAAAAAAAAAAGGGGGGGGGGAGGGGAGTTTTTGACCAAGTTCAAATATTGACACATGAAAATGTCAGTCTTTATACACCTTTATAAAAGTAGACTATGTGGAATATGATACACTAATACAAAGTTTTACAAATTAATAAAAGTAAAATATATAAATTACAACGCAGTAGAGGAAGGCTGTAGTTGTCTTCAGGTGGTGGCTCTTTCAGCAGTCATATCGCTGTGAAGAGAATGCAAGGTGCATTAGGGTAGCAGCAGGCTAAACGATGATGTCATTTACGTCCTTTACATTCCTGTTTTAAGCAGACATAAAGCCAAGTGCACTCAACTTGAGCAGAGTGTTAGCCAACCACAGCTAGAGCTTAGACAATGCTCATGAAATGTTTTTTAAACAAACCAGGGCCATTGTCCTTCCCTGGAAAAACTGCCAAGAAAGGGTCCATGGAAGAGGCACAGTAACAGCCAGGGGAGTGTCCCCTGGCTTTGGGCTCATTGCGGGTAACCTTTCCAGTTCAACGCTACCCAATTATGGGTTCAACTCTTATACCCTTTGAGAGCACCTTTTGTCTCTGGCAAGCTCAAGAAAGTGACAGGTACTCCTTCAGTGTGTGGGAAGAGAAGGTCTCTGTGGTGACTCAGGTAGGGACCCAGTGTGTCTGCTTGCCCAGCTCCATGTCCCTCCCTGACACATCACCTGAGCAGTTCTGCTCACTGCCTTTTTGCCTATCCTCAAACTGCACCAGCAGAGAGGCCCAGTGAAGACTCCGGCTTGTATGAAATCCAAGGCTAAAGATAGAACTGCATTACAGAAACCCCGAGAGAATTCCTCTCTGCCCCTCCCAAACCAAGGAGCCCAGAAAGAGCCCCAGACTGGAGGTTTCCCACCCGGTTGTTGTCTTGGGAATTTGGCAGGATCCCAAAGAAATGATTAATCTCGTTGTCCTTGCCTGATAAGGAAACAGGACTTTTAAGTTCCCCTCAAAATCTATAAAAAGTTTCCATTTCTTTATAGCAAAGTTTTTCACAGTAGTAACTTGTCGTTTTCATTGTATTTCTTACTTTAAAAGAAAGGTTAAGAGAACTGGAATCATCAGCCTAAATGATTGGAAAATACAGATTAAGTCTCTGGTTACCTAGTTCCATTTTACCGAAGATGGTAAGCAAATCCCACAGCACACCAAAGCTGGACCTCCATCAATTCAATAATATGCAGCTTTTAGAAGGATATAGAAACAAGAACCCTCCCTCTACAAACAAACGCATATTTCTCCCTGAAATCATATCCTACAGAAACAAATGTTTCCTGGCTTTCTTTCACAGTGAAAGGCTTTTCATGAGCTGCTATTCAAAGACCACAAGTGATTTGATTGTCCACGTTTAGCTACTTGGCCATTTTGTGACTCCTTATTAGGAAGGAACCTTAGAGAGTCCAACGAATAGCAGTATGGCACCCAGGCTAAGAGAAGGAGCATTGGCATAAGATGACCCACAGATTGAAGCCTGATCCATCCTGATGAGGTGGTCTGGGCAAATTGCTTAATGTGAATCATGAGCACACATGAAAAGAGGACACAGAATTTGTATCGAGTCAAAGGATGGGGAGTGAAAGGGGTGGTAGATTGGATCCTGAAGGGGGCACTGAGCCTGCAGGAAGCTAGTTTCTCTGCTCTAACAGCCCACCCCAAGGAAGCAGGTTAGCACAGCAACCATGGGACTCCGGGGAAGATGATTCCTGGGGGCAATGCAGTGCTACTGACGTGTTGCCACAAATATGATGCAAGAACACATGCTTGTCAGCTAGACATGTCTGGATTTGCCTTTTTCTCTATGATGAACTGTGGTGCATGCTGGCACTGGAATATTCCAGGTCCTTACCTGTTGGCGAGAGCAGCAATAGCCACAGATACCTCCAAGCACCCCATTGATTACTTGAACAAGACACAGGATGAATTCAATTCCACCAAGAGCCAAGAGGATAGAAAACAGAGTCACATTCCACTCCACAATATGCTTGGGCTCAACACATTGGGACCACGTGGAGGTGTCCAGAAGGTACCTGGGAATTAAAAATAAACAAAAATACATCCGAAGGTGATCATACATGATAGAATTTCTCTGAAGGGCTGTTTTTTGGGATGATTTTTTCACTCAGAACTAAAGGGATACATTAATTTAATGTCCATGACCATATCTTTCTAACACTTGTGATTCCACAAAACAGAGTTTGGGTTCAGATTTTGTCACAATGATAAATACAAAATTAAAACATGATTTTTTGCTTCAAATCTGGGATACTGTGGTTTAAAAATCTTCTCTTTATAGTGATGCTCATAGTCAATGAAAGCTCCATGAATTCTTACAAACAAAATGAAGATGTGCAGCTGTCTTTGCGATATATCTGAAATCAAAATAAAAGCCATGCATGTGTTTGCATGTGAACTCAGAGTGGATGTGGATTAGGTGGTACAGTGGTGGGTGGCTTCTTTGTCCTTTCCATTGTGTTACTGCTTCATTGTCATCTGTGTGAAACATAGCACATTGTAAGCAATACTGATTGAATAGTAATTTGGAAAACATCTCTTCACATCAGCCTCTTTGGAACTTTAAGATATTAATAATTTCAATGAATCTTGGTTTGGGAATAGGTGTTGAGGTGCCTAGAATTGAATTCCACTTCCATCCAGCTTTTCAGCAGGCACCCTAGGAAGCCAGAGATGAAGGTGCAAGTATGTGGGTCCCCGACACGTATGTGAGGAACCCAGCCTGAAAGTTTTGGTTCCTACCTGGCTCAGTCCTAGCTGTTGCATACATCTGAGGAGAGAACCAGAGGACAGGACCTCTCTCTCTCTCCCACCACCATCTCACATACAATACACTGTTTCTTTCAAATAAATAAGACTAATTTAACCCCCCATCATTACTTTTGAAAATTATCCAAATTCCTGCAAATGTAGAGATTTAATATATGGCAAGGTTTTCAATGGAGAAACTTTTAGAACAAAGTTATTTTGCTATTTTTAAGGAATATGCATCTATCATAGGAAGCAGCACATTGCATTCACGGAGTCAACAAAGAATATAGAGCATTTTGTGTGAGTTTAACGCTGAACCAAAGTTGGGAATATAATGGTGAACAAGGCATAGACTGTTCTGAAGGCAAGAGATAAGTAATATAGTCCAGCTCGATGCAGCAGGTGCTCTGAGGGGTAGATACCCAGCCATTTTAAATGAAGTCAGGTGATAAACAAAACCCCGACATCACTTCATGAAATGTCAGCAAATTATACTAAGACAATATCTGACTGTATAAGATAATTAGATTTTCTGAATACTTGAATATTCCTTTACTCAGAAAAAAAAAATCTGCTTCTGATTACTCTACTAGAATTTCAGTCTTTGCTACCACCATAGTGCATTTGGGATTTTAGAGAGAGATGGGAAGCAATCGTGTGGGAAAATCAGAATTGATGGAATTCCACAAAGAGGGCCAGTGTTATTCTTTTCTTATCACTGCTTCCTGCCACAGCTGAACAAAGGGGCTTGTAACTCAAGACCTAACTTTGGAATGGCTCGTTGAGCCAATCAGAAATTCAGTTTGTTGATTAAAATACCTGAACGACAAAAAGAAATTCTGCCCTTCTGGTTCAGTGTTCATGCAAGTTTGTGGAATAAAAAAATCAATGTTTGCAGGTGCATAAAAATTCTTTGTCCCCATATGATTATTGGGTAACTAGCTGGTGGCTTCTACTGTTATCCATCATACATAAACCCTTGGGCAGGTTCAGATGAGGAGTTATTATTTACAAAATGAGTAAGATTTCTCGCAATAGCTGGGGTGGATGATGGAGAGGCATACAACCTAGCAACTACAAAACAAACTCCACACTTAATAATACCCGCACCTGTCCATGTAAGGCTACCAGCCTAAGCCATGACTTCGAAGAACAGGTTCACGCAATGACTATTGATGTGTGCACACACACAAATAGCCAGTCACTACTAGTACAGTGAATATGATCTGAACAAACATGGATTGTATCAGACAACAATTCTGAACATTAAAATGTCAAGCTTCATTAGCATTTTCCTTCTGAGGCTAATACTGCTAGGCTAGACTCCTTAGAAGGTGGGCTGGCACTCACACAGCTGTGGTCAGCTTCCCTGAGCAGCATTTTCACACGTTACCTCATTAATCCTCGTGACAACTGTCATCCTTGTTGAAGGTAAAGCAACAGAGATACAACAGAGGACATTTCACTTTTCGAGGTGGGATTGAGACCAGATTTATCTAACCCTAAGCTCATGAACTCATGAATCTGCTTATATACATATATTCAATCATCAGAAGATACTATACATTTCATAAGGATAAACACCCTTACTCTTAATAATATAAGGGCAATTAAAATTCAGTAGTAAGATTATCTTCACTTAATGAAACTTACAGCTAAACTTTGCAAAAGTCACCTTCGAAGAGCATTTTCTGGTTGTTTCACTTCCGATCCAGCTCCCTACTAATGGCTTGAGACATGGAGGAAGATGACCCAAATGTTTGGCTACCCACTATCCATGGGAGAGACATGGATGGAGTTCTTGACTCCTGGCTTCAGCCTGGCCCACTCCTGGCCACTATGGCCATTTGGGAGTTAACAAGTGGATGGAAGGTATGTCTGTGTGTTTTGCTTTCTCAGTAATGTTGCCCTTAAAATGAATAAAACAAACCTATTTAAAGGGAACAACAACAAAAGACAGCATTGGGCATAGCTCTTGTGTTTTCTGAGAGTGAGTATGGGGTATGATGATGGGGTATGATTTGCCCAGGACTTTGGTTAAAATTCATATAGATGACACTCTCATTATAAGGACTCTATACTTTCTATTACAACGGTAAAATGATTACATTGAATCAGCCTTTTTTGTTTTTCTAATTGAATGTATATACGACAAGAGAACTCCACAGCTGGACTGCTTAAGTTCAAATCCTGGTTGCTACCTGCTGGTCCAGATGACTCTGGACAAGTCATCTCATCTCTTCAAGCCTCTCTTTCCTTGTCTATGTAATAGGAGTCACAGTGGAAGCCATTCCCAGGGCAACTGGGAGCACCGAGTCAGTGTACTTACTCAGATGCCCGTAAATCTTGTCCACACCAGGGACAGGCCTTCCATCCTCAGATACTTACTGTTCCAGTAGTACCTGAGTCAATGCTGGCTGGCTGGAGGAGGGAATGGCCCGAGACCTACTCAGTTCAATGGGGTCCCCACCATACCCATATCTGGATAGGAATGTGCGATCAGGAAGGAAACAGTTACGTACTGGCCCTCAGTGCTGGCAAAGGTGTAGTTCCACTGGCCGAGGGAATTGAGACATCTTGGTCCTTCTGCCAAGCCCAGAGCTGCCACAATGATGCAGTAGCCAGACCCGAGGATTCCGATGGTGGCCATCAGTCCAGAAGAAAGCATCTGGGGAGGAAGGGTCAAGCAGTGAGCACAGGGGCTGCGGCTGCCTCCTGGGCCTCACTGTCCTCATGGCACAAGGGGAGCCAGGGGGCGCAGGGGGGGAACCTACCGAGCACCTCTTGCCACAGTTCTCATGGCCGCAGCAGCCACAGCAGTCATCTTCTTCCAGCCCAATGAAGACAAACGCCGGCAGCAGTATCTGGTTAGGAAAGCGAGCACATTAGAACCCCGCTGCTTTCCCAGCTCCACAGGCCGTCAGCTTGTTTTTCATGGTGCCAGTGTCTGGTTTTGATTAAATTGATCAAGTATCTCAAATAATTAAAAACCCTGGGAGGCAGGGCGTGGGGTGCGGGACCTCTGAACCCACTGTCTGCCTACTTTTTTTTTTTATTGCATTTAATTTTATAACAACATTTCATAGGCTCTGATGTTCCCCCTTCCCCACCTTTTGCCCTCCCCCCATGGCTGCCCACTTTTAAGGATGGGCCAAAGCATTCCTCAGCGGCAAGAGAGAGGATAGGAGGGTTAAAGGATTTATTCCACAAGAATTGCTGCCAGTCTCAGAGATTTTCTTTGTTTTCAAACTATTAAGCCCAATCACTAAATCTGATCCAGCCACTCTAAAATGCAGAAGACACCGACAAGTCTTTGATACAATAAGTGCACCTTTTGTCAAGATGGGAGAGATTAAAGGCCTTTCCCAGACAACAATGCGCGTTTTAGCCTAACCACAAAGTTCCTTAAGTAAGCCTAAGAATGAAATACTTTAAGTTCAAGATCACAGGAAACAGTCAGGTGTGATAGTGTAAAGACAGATGATTATGTTACGTAAAGAATGCAGAAATTCAGAGGTTTGCTCTGCCATGGTTAGTGTAGTAGACTCCAGAATTTTCATATCTTTTACTTAACTAAGGAAAAAATATGCCATACGATGCCGAGGCCATACAATAGTCTTTAAAAATTAGTAATCTCAGCATCTTAAAATTGCAAACCTAAGTTTCCCCACATTCTTCCCATACTGTGGCTGACGCCAATACCCTCAGCTCCCAGGTTGCCAGGCAAATTCCTCTCACTCCAATTAAAAACAAACTTTGGAAAAAACAACACATTCCACTATGGGCTTCAGATACCGATCTGTTGCAAACTGTAGGATTTTTCCACACCACCACCACACCCCAGCATTCCATAAAGGAGAAAGCTTACAATTCTTCTTAAATAGCAGAACATTCACAATTCACTATTTCCCACTGTTATAGGTGACTGAGAATAAATAGCAGAGAACTGAGAGCCCAAACTCTTGATACCAGCTGACCCCTTCCAGCTCCCCAGGGCAACAGTAAATGACTACTCGCTGTGGTGCTAGAAACCCGAGAGAGGCTCAAATCTGACCCAAGAGCCAATCTGTGTTTTCGGATTGTAAAATAAGAGGTTTCACCAAAAAGGCAGCTCCCTGCTACTTAAAGGAGGGTTTTGTAAAATAACCTCTCGCACAATCTATTCACCTGTTTCAACTTTCGTATAACCGGCTTTCAAAAAGAGTGATCAACCAAAAGTTTTTAAAGCTGCTGGATCTGGAAATAGGCATTACAGAAAACTTTCAGAAAAATACATAATGAAGGCATCTAGCTAGCAGGTGGAGGTCTCGGAAGGTTGTGAAACTTTTGAGCGACTCACCAGCAAGCCCCCTCCCAGGATTCCAGCAAAGAACCACACGAAGCGGCTGAGGAGGTTTTCCGTCGCGTACTTGGTTTCCCCATTGGGAAAGTAAAGCAAGATGTTAGCCACAATGCTGAGGACGGCCAGCCAGATCAGGCAATGTCCAATGCTTCGAGCACACCTGCCGTAGCACATGGCTATACCGAGGCGACCGGGAGCTTCTCCCTTCTGCGTGTCTGCGGGCCAGCGATGCCCTGGATCAGATGAGTTGAGCCCAAGCGTAAAAAAAACAGAAAGCAGTGCTCAGGCCATTCTCGCCACCTCTTAAATACTGCCAGCAATGAGTCACCGGGTGGATGAGGTACTTGGCTTTCATTGGTTCTGGTGGCAGGCTGTGGAGGGGGGTGGGGGCAGAGGGATGTCCCGCCCTTTACTCTAGTCCTTGGGAGAAGTGAAACCAGGGGCAGGATGTGACAAACGGCCACAGTTACGGGCAGCAGAAAAAATGATTAATCCTCGACAAAGAATTTACTGTGCAAACTCCGTCCCAGCACAAAAACTGCGGCAAAATCTAGCACAGGTGTCCCTGAGTCGCCAGGGTCCACGGAGGCCCACCCAGTTCCTGGCCTCAGAAACTGCGGTCCTGTAACTGCCTGAACAGCTTCCAGGCTGGGGCTCTGTGCTCCCTCTTAATGTCTGCCCCACTTTAACTTGCCACCGGGCGAGAGTTTCCTGAGCTCCGAGTTCCTCTGCTTGTCTTAATAATGAGGCACCAGAGCTATCACCCTCCGATGGAGAGGGCTCCTGGGAAAATTCCAAAGCAGACTTCTCTCCTAAGCCTACAGCAGCTCTGCAAGTCTGACCCTGCTGGTCAGCCTCCCTGGATGACTCTCTCCAAAACAAATTTGCACCTGGACAAAGCTGGCATCAGACACACTGTGGCTTTTGGATTCCTGAGCTTGCTGCCAGGAAAAGCCAGTGTCACTAGTGGGTAAGCAGGGCCTGAACTAATCACGGGACAGGTTTAAAACAAATAATAAATAAATAAATAGAAGAGAGCCTCGTCACTGGGACATGAGAGAGATCTAGAAGAGAAAAGGGGCCAGGGCAGGGAGTTGTTCGTTTGCAAGACTGAGGCCCGAAGGATTTGCTCCAGAACTAGAGGAGGGGACGCACAGCAGACATGAGGAGGCCAGTGGGGGACATGGGTCAGGCTGGGAGGAGAGTCCAGCAGGAGGTGCGGCCTGAGCAGGGTACAGCCATGCCCCAAGGGGCCTGAGGACCCCAGTCTGTGGGAACCAGGCTGCAGGGAGGTCCCAGCAGCCCTGTCCACCTCCTCAGGCCAAGGGAGGTGAGTCCTCAGGAGGCCGTCACTCATCACCATCACGCAGCCAACTACACGGCCCCTGTGTCTTGGGACCCAAAGTCCTGCTTGGACCCTGGAAATCCCGGAGATCGGGGCCTGGAGGGGCTATGTAGTAAATGATGGGATGCTTTGTGGTGGTCAAAGTGCTGAAAGTGGTCCTTTGCTGACTTGGTTACAAGTGCTCAGTTTCCTTCCACACCCCTTTTCTCCCAACCCTACAGATGGGGGGGTGCGGAGGCGGGGTGCAGATAAGGAGGGAGCCCCTGCTGGTCAGCTTCCTGCTCTCAGCAGAGTGGCCCACACTCAAGACCCTCTCTCCTACTCTATGAGACAGGACTCATCTAACCATTTAAAAGGCTTCTTTTGCTTTCTTTGTTTGTAGCTGGTATTATTCGTTGGCAACATTCTTTTTAAACTTTATATAAAGTGAGCACGTTTCTTATATTGCCTAGATTCAGATTTAGGAGCAGAGTGCAGCTTCCTGCCCAGGCCTTCCTTCTCCTTCCTTCCTTATTCCTTTTTTTAATGTTTATAATGAAATGCTTTCTGCTTATTTTATAATCACCAGCTTAGCTCTCCGTTAAACCAAGAATTCGACGAGTAAGAAGTAGAAAACCACTGTTCCTCAAGAGGACCTTAAACACTAATCGACTTTCACGATGTCAGTTTCGCTCAATTGCATTACATTTTTGTACTCTGTGTATTATTTACCATAAATCAGGGAAAATATATTTGTCTTTTTGGGACTGGCTTGTTTCAGTAAGCATAATGGTTTCAAAATGCATCCATTTTGTTGCAAAAGACAGGATTTCATTCTTTTTATGGCTGAGCATTATTCTATATAGCATTTTCCTTATCTGGTTACCAACTGAATGGACATCTGGGTTGATTCCATAGCTCAGCGATTGTGAATTTAGCTGTAATAAACTTGGAAGTGCAGATTATTCCCATGTGCCTATTTCATTTTAGTTGGATAAATTCCCAGAAGGGGGACGGCTAGGTCACATGGTAGATCTATTTTCAGATTTCTGAGGAATCTCTATTGTTTATGTTTCCATTCACAGTGGTTTAGGATATCTTCTGAGGGTACACTGCGATGATTTAATACATGTATATGTTGAGCAGATCAGGTTAGCTAACATTTCCATCTCCTTGAAAGTTTTTGATCAACACTTAGCAAGGATGCACATTTACAGGATAAAATGTGACGTGCCAGTGACTTCAATCAAAGTGATGATCTTTGATGATATGGACCTGAGAGGAAGTACATCAGTGAAAACAAACACTTTTCTGTTGTTGTATTTCTGGAGTCTGCTGACTCCCTGATGCCCATCAGTGGTCCTTTTTTCTTGTTTTTCAAGGTGAGGTATATTTGGAACCACCTGTAATATACAGGCAGATTTGGGATCAGACGCTTGACAAAATAGGTGGACATTTCTGAGGATGGGCCCAGCAGTCTGCCTTTGTGGCAAACACTCTGAGCCTTTGGTTTCCTCCAGTTGCCTTTGGTCCCTCAGGTCACTGGCCTGGTCCACGGGCACAGGTAAGTGTCACTTGTATGTGATGTCTTTGGAGCCCACACTTACTCCTTGATTTCCACCACCACCACACAGGGGTACAATGATTTTGGAGAAGCATGTCGAATTTTAAGGTCTGGTAAAAGGCACGTTCAGGCTGACCAAATTCTCCTGTAAGATGAGGTACTTCCTTGCCTTTTTGATGGCTCCCTGCCTTGCTTTACAGCTCCCAGTCCACCCTGCCACACCTCTGTGGGTTGGCCTGCATCTCACATGAGAGTGCCTGGTTCAAGCACAGGCTGCTCTGTTTCGGATCAGCTCCCATCTAGTGTGAATCCTGGGAGAGCAGCAGGTGATGGTCCAAGTACTTTTGTACCCACCACCAACATGAGAGACTCAGACAGAACCCCAGCCTTCTGCCATGGGCCTGGCCAGTGTGGCCATTTGGAGAGTGACCCAGCAGATGGAAGCTGCATCGTTCTGCCCCCTGCTCTCTCTCCAGTTCTTTACAAATATGTACATATTGGATGGTGTGTGGTCACTGTCCTTGCTGGTGCATCTTGAAGCAGCAGAAGATGGCCGAAGTGCTTGAATCCCTGCATCAGTGTGGTAGACTCGGTTGGGAGGTCCAGGCTTCTGGCTTCAACCTAGTGCAGCCCTGGCTGCTGCAGCCATCTGCCAAGTGAACCAGTAGACAGGAGATGTCTGTGTCTCTTTCTTCCTCTCTGTCATTCTGTATTCCAGATAAACAATCAAGGTCCACTGTAATTTTTTTTAAAAAAGGATCTCATAATCCCCTGAAATTGTTCTTTTGTATTAACGTGGTTTTTTTCCCTAGGGTCCATTCCCTTTCCTGCAGAGGGCTGGAACATTCTGTCTGGTTTTTCGTTGTTTCCTTAGTGGCTGGAACAATGTTCATGGCATAGGTGCTCAGAAAAATACTGTTGAATGATTCAGTAAATAAATAAGTGAACCAATGGGTATTGTTTTTTTTTTTAAAGATTTATTAATTTTATTGGAAAGGCAAATTCACAAAGAGAAGGAGAGACAGAGAGAAAGATAGTTCACTTCCCAAGTGACCCAATCAAAAGCCAGGAGCACGTGGGTACAGGGTCCCAAGGCTTTAAGGCATCTTCTACTGCATTCCCGGTCCACAATCAGAGAGCTGGATGCGGAAGTAGAGCAGCCAGGGCAAGAACTGGAGCCTCTATAGAATCCTGGCGCGTGCAAAGTGGGGATTTAGCTACTGAACCATGGCACTGCGCACCAAGCTCCTTATAAGACTGATGCTCGGGCCCGGCGAGGTGGCGCAGTGGTTAAGGTCCTCGCCTTGCACGCCCGGGATCCCATAAGGGCTCCGGTTCTAATCCCGGCAGCCCTGCTTCCCTTCCAGCTCCCTGCCTGTGGCCTGGGAAAGCAGTCGAGGACGGCCCAAAGCTTTGGGACCCTGCACCCGCTTGGGAGACCCGGAAGAGGGTCCTGGCTTCTGATTGGCATAGTATCGGCCGTTGCGCTCACTTGGGGAGTGAATCATCGGACGGAAGATCTTCCTCTCTGTCTCTCCTCTCTGTATATCTGCCTCTCTAATAAAAAATAATAATAAAAATAAATCTTTAAAAAAAAAAAGACTGATGCTCCAGTACTTCTACCCCCCCTCCCCAAGGCTTCTTTGTCCCCCTTTGAGCTTTGGCACGCATTTGAAAAGGCCTATTTGTGGTTTAGGTCGCGGCTCCCAGGCCCTGCCATTGCCTGGTTGTTGAACTCAGGGACAAGTTGTTAAGCAGTCATTCATCAATACACATTGAGCTCTGTGTTTTCTGAGTGTGGGAATACAGCAGGAAACAGGACAGAACAAAATCCTTGACCTTAAGGTGCGTCCCTTTGATCAGAAAGAGACAAATACAAATAATATCAAGTATGCCACAGGAGCTATTAAACAGTGGAGTGGTCAGGTTGGGGGAACAGGAGCCTGAGTGTGCTGGGACACAGGGGTGAGCGGATGACCGCACAGCCGGACGCTGCTCACACGTGAGTCAGTCGGGGGAGGCTTGAAGCAGCTGGCACACAACACCACTCCATCACGTTCCTTATCACCGCTTTTTATTGTCTTTCACCCACTCAGGCGAGGTGTTTCCATGCCACCTGTGATTCACTGTCTGTATTTTCCTGAGATTTGGTTGCTCCGATGGACTTTGGATCACTTTATTATCTTTTCTGAGGAATTTAAAAATACTGGAGTCGTCATGGTTTGTAATAAAATGCTTGCATTCAGCTGCTGTGTCTCCTCCTGGAATCACCCTGGATTAACGAATGAATAACGTTGATGAAAGAAGTGGGTTTTAGTGCTTTGTAGTTGGGCAAGTGCTTGAGCATGAAACACTGGTTCTTAATACCATGTTTTGGGCTGGCAGAAATGCCTTGTTCC